ATAGCCTTCATACGCAAGAATCTGAACATTGAATTCTGCTTTTTAGACTGCAGAATTATTTTGTATTATCTCACTGACCAATCAGGGATTCGAAGGTTAAAGTTGTATTTCTTAAAGATCCAGTGTTTATGACTCACCCTATCCAGAGCCAGTTTTCGGTTTGTCTGTTCTGGGCTACTGTAGAAATATGGTGGTTCAACATGGTGGCCTCAATGGACGGTGACCCACGGCATCTGTAGCTACAAAAGGCTCATTCTAAGATAACAAAAACCTGAACTATTGTCATTACTCAAATACACTGGACCTTTAAGATTTGTATGAAATCAAGCTGATACTATCTGTGTTCATTATCTTTGCCAATAGCCTTTTCAATATATTTAAGTTCAGCTTTAGAATGCTGCAGGAATGAGTCCTAAAACTTGAAATGAAGTAAGCATTCCCATGCCTTGAAGTCAGTGGGTTTTTTCAAAATGGGTTTTTGATTAAATGCCTAAAATAAGGACTGTATGCCAGTAAATACTCCACCTCTGAATTTTTAAGCTTTTAAAAAAGGCAGTTACTAGTGGCTAAAGGACACTAGAGGTTGCTGACATTAAATGTCAGCACGCCAAAGTGAGTGTGGGGGGGACGAGGGCAGTGCGGGTGCATGTGTGTGTGTGTGTGAGCGAGCCTGAGGTGAGCGCGAAGGACACAGTTAGAGAGTTATCTAACTTTATGTTTAGGTTGTTTTTGACGAGGTTACGGCCGACAGTAACCTGTACTGTTCCAGCAATAAATGTTGGGTTGCTGAATAACACTTAGTCATCTTTTCAACACGTCCTGGTGGACGCTACAATATGGACTTACGAGATCTCGTAATTTTTTTATCCAGTGAATACAATGCGCTTCCGTACTATTCTAATTCAAACTTGTAGATTTTAATTATAAGTTTAGTGGTGGTGACAATCAAGTTATGTGAATGCGGTGTAGTTCAGTTATAGCCTTAGGTTAGCTTTTAACTTCTGGCAATCACATTTAAGCTTTAAAAATCATAAAAGTGGTTTTCATTTGTGAAGATTATTTTTCTGAACAAAATATGCAAGTATCATAAACCTTTGTTCACCACAGAGCTTATTTTCTGCAATGACCAAAAATCCAATAGAAGAATCCCTTTGGCTGTTTGTTGGTTTTTAATGGTAGTGGTGGGGTCCGCATCTACATTTTTCTCTCTTTGTTAACAGCCTTTTCTCATTGTTTCACTCTCTTTACACAGTGTCAGAGCTTTATTAAGTTACTGCTAATGCTAATTGAACATCATATTGCTGCTGCTTCACATTAAAAGCATTCATCATGGCGAAACACAAAGTTTTTATTGTGAGGCAGCCATTGCAAATGCAATTCATTTGCCACCATGGCTGACCACGATCAGAAGCCCAGCGAAACATGTTCCAGCCTTTAGGGACAGAGTGAGGAGCTCTACTCCCTGAGAGGACAGCTTGTAGGTTGATCCCTCCAAAATGTCTGAGCATCTGACTAGGATACCCCCTGGATGCCTCCCAGAGTAGGTTGTCAGGCACATCTAACTGAGAGGAGACCCTGAATACGCCGAAGGGATTATATCTTCCATCTGGCCTGGGAACACCCCGGGATCCCATATGAGGTGCTGGAGGTTGTAGCCAAGGAGGACGGTGTCCGAACTCCAGGTTGAGAACCACCGCTGTAAGTGGTTGAAATATGCAGGTAAAGTCAGCATGGTGCTTGTGTGATGTTACGTAGATTATACCTGCCTTAAGCTAAGATAAGGTCTACTTAACCCTAAATTGTGTGGCTTATGATGTTTTTACACATTGAACTATATCCTTAAAAAAATTATTTCAGGAAAATAACATAGCCAATATTAGCTCAGAAAACTGACATTAAACTTTAAATAAAATTAAATCCTTAACTATGATAGCAAGTTAAACTAACTTGTAAATGTGGAACTGAAATAACTTTAGTGTGTACACATGGACTGTGATCTTTTTCCATTTTGAGACAAACAACCCTCTTCAGTACAGCTCATCTTCGGCCCCTTCACAGAATATAATGCACTGTGGCAGGAGACAAGCTCTGCTGTCTATAAAAAGCATGATTCTGCCACATGGTCGAAGTCTGCGGCACATCAGACGGACACACACTGGACAGCAGGGACTGTGTGAGGCTGGAAGGATCGAACCCAGATGGTCCATTTCTTTGTGAACTGGCACCAAGTACCCTAATTATTATTCGTGTGAAGAGAGGCTGCTCTTTGAGTCAGATAGCATTGGCTGACATGGCCCGAGGCAAGGCCAAGACTGACCCCGAAAACACTGCAAAACAACAGCGCTATTCTCCACGCTGGAGATACACACACACACACACACACGTTCTCTGGCCTGATAATTAACACAAATTTAAAACACTGGAATATTAGTGGTGATGACTTAACTCTAAACATACCAGCATACTGGTATCACCTTCTGCTTGAATCTACACACAAAAAGGCAAACACACCTAAATATACAGAGAAATAAATAGATAAATAAAATCCAGAGGAATACAGAAAAATATACACACTTACACATAACTTATACACATTAGTACACACAACACACACACACACACACGCGCACACACACACACACACACACACACGCACGCACGCACGCACGCCACACACGCACGCACACACACACACACACACACACACACACACACACACACACACACACACACACACACACACACACACACACACACACACACAGTCACACACTGGGACTGAAATAGCAGCAGTTAATTATGCCAGTGAATGAAACTTTTATACTCCAATGTATTTTTATGGTGTTGACTTCGCTGCTCTTTAGTGCCTTTGTTCACTTACACTACGCAAAACACAGTTTAACCTACAATGAACACAGTGTGTGAGCTGTGATGCAATCATGGGCTGATGTCTTCTCAATTTTTAACCAGAATAATATCGTCTGAAACTACACGAATTGTATTCTTCGTATGTAACAAGCAATAATGCTTGATATTTACTGTTTCTGATGCAATTTGTTGAATTGAATTTAGTGAGCTCGATTTTAATTTTAATTTCAGTCAAGTTGCAAAGTCGGAGGACCTGCTGGTTCCACTATTTTTCCACACATTCCCATTTTAAATTTTTTTAATGATCTCCTCACTGTTTCTCAACATAGACACATGGGACTCTCCTGGATAATGTAAAAATGTATGTTATGGCCATCAAGTATTTCTACTTTGTTTGAGAAATCATGCTTTTCCCATAATTTTGGCCTGGAGGATGGTTCTAAATCCTTTACCACCATTGCTATAAATAAGTCAGTCAGAGGCATTAATCAGAACTGTAGCAAAAACGCTTTGTTGGTGAACTTGGCAACATTATACAGCGCCATCGTTGCCAAAATCATTCAACTGTAACCAGAATTTGGAAGTGAACCTTTTGGGAAATATGTTTATTAACTTGAGTTAGATGAGAAAATTGCTCTCAATCTCATGCCTGGTGGTTAGGAAGGGAGCCGGAGCCAGGAGGCAATTAGCTTAGCTTAGCATGGACACTGGAAGCAAGGGAAAACAGCTATCCTGAGCCTCTCTAAAGTTACAAAAAGTCTTTACCAACACCTCTAAAGATGAACATATTAACTGAATCCGTACACAAACAGAAACGTAAGAATGACTTTGACATACATCCATGTACTTTAAGCTCTAACTTTAACCAACTTCTTTTGATTTACGTCTAGCCTTGTCTCCAATGCCACAATATTAGTCATGTCCAGCTCCACTGGTCCAGACCAACAGATGGCGACAATGTGGAAAAAAAGGGAGGAGTCAATAGCAAGAACATGGTAAACTAAACTGTATGCAGTTGCCACTTTTTATATGAACCATTGCATATTTCAATTGCTGTAACTATCACAGAAGCATCAACATTAAGCAGAATATGACAATATTCAAGTTTATGAAAAACAACCCAAGGTCCCAGGTCATCAAATACAGACGCCAGCGGTGTTCAGATAGTTAAAATCTGAAACTTCACCACTAAATAGGCCACTAAATCCTACAGAGTGGCCCTTCAAGCAGCCGAGCTGAGTTGTTGGATAGAGTAAGCAGAGGCCCTCAGTGCCTGTAGCCCCTCCAAGCCGCCACTGACCCGGACAAGTTTCATATCCATGCAACCCTTAACATGCTACAAGGCCTGTAATGTCTATCAATAAATATGATGACATTTTGTGTATAACTACCATAAGCACAGATAGACAGACAGACAGACAGACAGACAGACAGACAGACAGAAAGACAGGCAGATAAAGGTAGAGGGAATGTCTGGGTGAAAGGAAAGTCAAGGACATGGCAAAAGGTGGCATTAAAAAAGGGCACAGTTATCCATCCAATTAAATTTATAACCCGCATTAAGCACATTTGGCAGTCTGGGTTGCAGAAATTGAAAAATGGGGGACGTGTGTCCTCAGGCATGCCCCCTCCAACACACATACACATAAGCACACTATACTCTTCAATCAAAGCACCGGCAGCTGTAAGCACCATTTCAAGGGACGCCATTATGCAAGGAAAATGTCATTAGCGATTTCACAATTTCACGCATCAGTGCTGCTAACATGTCTCTGGAAGACGGCAGGGCACAGGCGAAAGGTAAAGGCCCCCAAACTCTGAAAGCAAACCCGTGACTGAGATGGAGGAAAGTGAATTCTCTGCAACAGCCTCCCCCTCCCCTCCACTGGTACTGTACATTACTCTGCCACCAACTGAATGAGATTTTTCTTGGAATAACCTCATCAGGTTTTTTTTTTTTTTTTAAAACCTCTTGCAAAAAAAAAAGTACTTGGGAGTGCGGAACAGTGGATCAAGCTTATGTGTTTTGGAATTGTCCCAATACCTCCCATACTGCCTTGAGGAGCTTAGACTGTTACATGTGTCTATGTGTATTTAAAAAGTGGTAAGGGGTGGGTGCCTTGGTGGCTCACCTGGTGGAGCTGGCGCCCCATGTGCCAGGGCTGGGTCCTTGCTGCTGCGGCCATTGGTATGTGTTGACCTATTGTTCCTGCCGTAGTCGTACAAGGACACGTTTTCCTGTACAATTAGGAATTAGGACATTTCAGCTGCGCTCACTGCGCAGTTTTACCTACAAACTTTAAGTGAAAATACAACCATAACCATTCACAGAGAATAAACAAACAAATGGGAGAGGACTTCTTCTCCAAAGATGAGTCATATAAAGCTGTGTTTGTACTGTGATTGTTTGTTACTCAGGTGCTCTTCCATGTGGTATCCACATTATTCTACGCCTATATACCATATATCCATAGTAATTTACTACAGTAGCCCTGTCCAGCACCTCTTGATGTTTAAAATACGATAAAAGTAGAAGAAGAAAAATCTGCATTGCAAATGAGTGTCGGACCGTGGGCAGGGGAGAGATGGATGCGCTCCCTCCGCAGAGACCCAGACTCTGCCAGAGTTTGTGGATCAAAAGAGGTTATAATTAAGCCCCGTCCTCAGAGACGTCTTGGGGGGATCAACCAACAAGCTGTCAGCCCTGTCAGTCTTTTGGAAGAGAACACAGTACCATAATTGAGCGGAGCTGAATTGCTACAGTAGGGACACTTTTGATAAGCAGCAACAAATTAAATATAATGCACAAAAGCTCTGTAGGGAGGGAACACGGCCCTCCAACTGAAATTAGCAGCCTCTGGTTTTTCACAGACCTCCTACATATTCTATAAACCAGTGACCCATCTGATAAATCTGCATTATCAAAGACATCAAAATATCTGTTAAATGACTGTTGATTGGCAAATGTCATATGTTATTTTTTTACTATTGTCCAATCGACACCTGGTTTTAGCTCTGGGATCAACAATGTTCATCATAAAGTATATCAACCTGCAAGGTGAGGGTCACGTGGCAGACGGACACAGGCATCAGTGCCGCCGACATCAGGCTTGTTTTCATTAGCCATGCTAGCTCGCCCACTTGGAGTGTAGAAAGGAAATCAATAAAGAAGCAACTGGGCTTGAAAAATTTGAAACATCTTCTTTACTCTTTTACCTCAGTTTAGTTCTGACATAGCACTTTTTTACAGTAATTTGAATTCCATTAAGAAAAATTCTAATGTAAAATCAATAATTGAAATTTCAAACTAAATACACACTCTTAGCAACTTCCCTCCTAAATATTGTATAATAAAATGTAACTTGTAGTTAATCAGATTTTGAAATCTAGGTTTTAGAGTTACTGTGATGTATTATATTTCTACCATTACACAACTGTGTGTCACCCAGAACGACTTCCAGCAGCTCTGTTCACAATATCTTCCTAGAACAATATCAGATATATCAGAGGGCACAGCTCAGTGCTATAACATTAACAGGAGGTTGTATGGCTGGACCTGCCATTTTTTTTGTAGAGGTCCCAGTAATATTTGTTCTTCACATGACATGGTTACACTACTGTCATTTGAATCATAAAAAGTTAGAAATGCACTTTCCACTCATATCTTAAGATGTTTGATTTGAAAGGGAACTTACTCTAATTCTAATTGTAACTATTCTAATTAGGTATGAACTCCCCCTGCTCTTTCATTTGTTTCTATCTTTGGATGTCTCTATGACTCACTCTGTAATGAGTGTTTTGTCAGACTGATTGTTATTTGGGGTTATTTAACTGTGCGCTCTCCCTCACGATGCTCAGTGCATGGAGAGCTGTTTCCTCTTCGACTCTGCTCTCTGCTGGACTGTTACAGTGCGTAACCGCCATCTCTGTTTCTCACAGCAGTATGTTCTATGTTGTTTTTTCCTTTTCATTCCCTCATGGTGAACATCAGGAATTGTACTGTCTCTGTGCCATCTGTGCACAGATGATGTGCTGTGATGCGCTATTGGGCTGTGATGCATTGGCGAGGTCTGGACTGGTTTCTCGTGAAGTGGGTGTGTTTGTGCATGTGGGTAGCCTACCGAATGGACCAGGTGGGGAATGGATCTGCTTTGCCCTTATCCCACTAGCGTTAGCCTTACAGAGCTGTGTCTATACTCATAGAATTACTATTCATTTTGAAAGAGCAACAGTAAGTGAGTAACTCAGCATTTGTAATACCAATATAATGGCTGCAGTAAGCATGCTAGTACATTACAGTAGCCTACTAGTAGTATTGCTGGCTTGGCTCCCCACGTCCGTCACATGTAACCCCTGCCTTTCAAGTTGTTGCGGCCCTTTGTGAGTCTCTTTGAAAGTGCACCGTTATCCACATTTATACAGTAAGGTTAAGAGGTATGAACACGTTTTCCTATAAATCCCTCATACCAACTAGTTTGTTTTAAGCATATTGAATCCTTTAGGATTACTTGACTAGATGGCTTCATATTTTGCTATAGGTAGGAATAAAAATCTTTCTGGTCCACGTCCTCATCCACATGATTTCCATGGATAAGAGGCTCTTTTAACACATTAAACACAGCCATCACAGCTCTTGCATTTTTATTAATAATGTCTATTTTTAGCATTCTCTTTTCACTCTTCAGTCCAAATGCCAAATCCTCATTGGTTGTTTAACTGTGCCAAGTCAGCAGGGGCAGAACAATCTAATAAATAATCCATAATGTATCAAAGATAATTATTGCTGCATATCTGAAGAATACACACACACTCACATCTTGCTCTCAGCCTGAAATTTAAGGAAGAAAAAAAGAAGCAGAGACAAAGACGATGAGCAAGCTGTTGGTTCTCAAGTCAGTATTTGATTGATGCTCATATTACTTTAATTATATCAAATGTATTCCCCACTTTGGCAGAATGCCATTTCGCAGTGGTGTTAACAGCTCTACTAAATCAAATTTGGATTTAAAAGCATGCTTGTGTTTGTGTCACGGCATGGAAAAAAAGGCCTTGATAAAGCTACTGTATCATGGCTACCTTCAGGCTATGTTACAACAAGAGCGCATTGAGGGAGTGTGCTTCCATAAGCGCTTATCCCAGGGGTCGCACACAATCAGTGTGACGTCAAAGCCCACAGCTATGGTGCACTGGAGGAGGCATCAGCAGAAAATCCCCTGCTGGCCTGGAATCACTGAAAGGACAGGGCAGAGTCGCTGTAACACCCACGGGTGACAGTGTGACCTCTGTGTCTGCTGGAGGGTGAACTGATGTCCAGCCTGCAAGACCTGATGAAGAGCTTTCCAAGCTCATTTCACCATGCCTTTGTCTCACCTCTCACTGAAGACAAGTATTTCTCTCAAGTTCAGCTGCTCTGGAGGCAGAAATAATCTGACTGCAGTTCTTCAGAGAGAATATTTGCCAACAGCTTGTTTGCTCATTTGAACTTTGATGGCAAAGAAGAAACTCTGATCAAAATATTAATTATACACGGCAGCATCTTCTTCCCATCAAGACCTTGTTTGACTCATTTACATCTGATGAAATATTTAAAATTTCAACCAAATAAAAGTTTCTATTTGAATCTAAATGATCGGGGTCCTGTCCTTTAGGTTGGAAGAAAACATCAGTACAACAGTAGGGTTGGTTTTAAATCATTAAACCTGGGCCACACGGGGAGTCCTATCGCTCACCCGGTAGAGCTGGCGCCCCATGTACAGAGGTTAAGTCCTTGCTGCAGCATGCGTTCGACTCCGACCCGTGGCCCTTGGCTGTGTGTCAGTTCCTAAAAATATCAGGAAAACTCCTCTCTGATGCTTACAGGAAATAATCTGCTTGTTACTGCATTCACAGTTTGTTCTGTACTGTTATTGTTATGTGTTGAATATAATACAAAGTATTCATAAAATATGTCACTTAGTCAGGGGTCGTCAGTTTACCAAATGATAAAAAAGGGGTCCTTTAAGGAAAAAGGTTGGGAACAACTGGTCTACATGGATCCGTATACATGGGGCAACCCCTTCACACTGACACTGGGCTTATCCAGAACTCTGTGCATAAGGGAGACCAGCACAGACCGTTCTTAGAAGGTCAATGAGCCTAAATAGCTAATAGGTTGTTTTTTCATACCACTAATGACACGATAGATCAATGTTTTTTGAGTGGGTCCCTGTTAGCAACTTAGCCTTGCTCCAACAAAAGGCAGCAAAGAAGAAGACTGCAAGCTAGTAAACCTAAATGTAAATCATGCTGGCCCCAAAATGTGGCTTTGCAAATATTTTATGAGGAAGGGAAATGTATTCAATACAATTGTTAGTCCTCAAGATATACACAATGTGTTAAGGTGAGAAAACACTGAATGTAAAGATACATTTGTTTGCAAGGAAACTCCACAGGGTACCTTTACATCTTTCAAATCAAACACAAATGTACACTTACTGTTTATGGAAAATTACAAAATAAAGCATACTTGAAATCCCAACAGGAACTAAAGTACAGTAGTGTGACATTTGAGGTTAGTGTTAATGGACATTATTATCCCAAAACACAATGAACAAAGAAATTGGAGGAGTAATACACAGCTGGAAAAAAGGTTTTAAAATGGCAGATGGCAGCGTGGTGGATCCAAGGTGAAAGTACTACACAAACCTGTAGAACCACTTTTACTAGCCATTTGTAAAGTGTCTGAATTATAAATGACTGAAAGTGTTCTGAAGTTGCAGCTCCAGTGATGCCTGTCAGCTCACGACAAGGATCCCGTCCCAAATGAAACATTAATTCTAATGTTTGCTGTCAAAACAGAGCATTATGAAGATGAATAACCTACATGCAGTCTACTTTTGTAGAATTGGTGTAGGAAATTGGAAATCACTGCAGATAAGGCTACAGCACATTGTTTCCAACCAAAGGTTAAACTTAAACAGATTATTTCTACCTCCAAGAATTATTTCCCAACAGAATCTCTCTCTGCCAAACAGGATTAAATTATTATATCTCACATAGGGGCAATAAAAGCCCCTTGCTGACCAGTTGTCTCCAAAAGCAGCCGGCATGATAAAACAGTTCAGACTCACTGAGCTGAGAGGACAGTGAGACTCTTCCAGACTCTTATTTGCAGCTTTATCAACAGCACTGGCAGATGGGGCACACGGTGAGCTGCACTCGGGTGCTGCACTTCAAACGAGAGCAGACTGTTGAATACA